CAGGCTTCACAGAGGGGAAGGAACATCAAAGTGGAAGAAAATTCGAGAGGTGGGAGGGGGAGGGGGAACAAAAGAGTGCTTCAAAGACTACGGTAGAGAAAAGGTGAGGTGAGTACTGTGAAAGTAGTCGAATATAAAAAGGTGAGGTGAGTACTGTGAAAGTAGTCGAATATGGCATACAGCGGGGTCATGGCAGTTTGAAGTCAGAAGTTAACTGCCCATTGATAGACTTTTTTTGCCGTATGAATATATATATATATATATATAGGAATAACTCAACTCCTCTTAATTTCGGAAAGATCCACCTTTCCATGAGTTAGTGCAACTTTGTCATGCTCTACGACTCAAAATAAATGCTTATACTCTGCCACTTTGTAATCCATTAAAAAGAGTTTATGTATGGGTTGAGTTTGAAAAGAATAACGAATTTGAATTTTTCTGAATGCCTGAAGCTCAAGCAGGCTGAATGATGGTGTGAGCTTGCTCAATTAGTGTAATTATTTGGTCTGTTAGTCTTCAGCGATGTCGAAATAGCGTCGCTTCAAGGTCAGACAAATGTGTTTGTTTGTTAGACTGATAGAAAACAGATGTGTGGTGCCCTAATTCGGCAGATATAGAGGTCCTGAAGAAGGATGACATATGAGCTATCTCAAATTCCATATTAAAATGTTGTCGCCTGCTCCACTCAGGAGACATCATTTGGTGCCTCTAAATAGTCATAAGGAATCCAAGAATGATGTATTCAGATAAAATGATTACATCCAGGTTTTCTATAATAATAATGTAAAGACAGCAGTAAAAGTTTTTAAATTTCTCAATAAGCAAACAATTAAAATCGGGCAAAATGTACTTTAAGCAACAGATTATAAAAGATTTAAGTAAAATTTATTTCTCCCAGAAAACGCATAAACCAACTGGCAATGAATAATATGAATCAAGCGCAAACGCGTGCTCAAATTGACAAATTTAAATAAAGCTAAATAGATTTCGGAACTCAGATTTCATGATTGAATAGTGAAGCACAAGTGAAACGAAGGCATTTTAGAAGATGATGACACAACTGTTAAGTTAGTTAGTATTTTATCTACGTTTAATGCGTTAGAGGACAACACATTAGATTCTTGTAATTATATGGAAGGAAACAAACGCATTAACTCAGTTTGCAAATATTTCGGTAAAATGAATACATCAATTAATCCAATTGAGCAGAAAATTCACTAAACTCACGTGGTGTCATTTTACTGCCAGACCATCTGCATGTATGAGAAAGGTTTTGAAAAGCCCAATATAGAACACCTGTCGGAAAATTTACTGTTAAGTTTTCAGGACATAATTGTAACATTGCATCAGGATCATATTCTGGTTATTGAAACATTTAACTATTTTGTTCATTAGCATTATACAATTTAGGATGTTAAATGCTAATTAATATTAAGAGCAGGAAACGCTCTCTAAACAGGGGACTGCACTGTTCGTTTCCATTTCATGTACTGAGATATCAGGACTTGGTAGGCAAATTGCATGTTGTACTATTCAAGTATGCCAAATTCTCTAGGACTGTACCTAATAGACGTAGATGAAATACTGAAAGTGATTATGCGCAAACAATTCTGCAACCTCATTCCTACCTATTTTGAACACACTTAAAAATTTCAACTTGGCTCATTATATATATGCCAGTTAATGTAAAAGCGATTTGTGTGTCACTTATTCAAAGTACACATTTAAAGTCATCATTAACTGAAAAATTTTTGTAATGGCTGAGCATTTTTTATCTGAAATGTCCATTTAATTGACCGTTTCGAACTCAAATTTGCCAGAATTCTGAAAGAAATAGTAAAAGGGCACCATGGTGCTTAAGAGAACGCGCTCGTTTCACTTTCCATCGATATTTTTTTCCAAATATTTGGAACTGTTGCGCCGAGAGCAATCCCAAAATGTTCCATATTTCTTTAATTCTAATTTTAAGACAATTTGTTTAGCATAAGTGACTATAACGAAGGTTAATCAAATTATACGGCTCTTTGTCCTCTCCATTACACTGTTTGAACAAGAAATTACATGGTAGGAATAGCTGGAAATCGAATTTAGGCGATTTCCTTTGGAATTCTCCACGCAAACACGAATTCACTGTTTGGAAGAGAATTCCAATTACGCAGTTACTGAAATAATCTAGCTGCAACTTACAATTTTCTTCAATGGATGTAATTTGGATGTATAGCACAGCTCTACTTACAATAATTTAGTCATCTTTTCATTTTTTCAACTCTTCACTCCCATCCCACTTTGGTCTTACATTTACCAGCCATTGTCCAAAACTCCATTACCTCAATTAAAATCTCATTCTCTTTGTTTTGGAATGAGTGATTGTTGCAAATACACATTTCTATGCCAGAATATGAAGCCGGCTTTGACGGAAATATTGCTAATTTTCATCTATTTCTGTTGAATAATCCGGAGTGAAGTTAAAAGGAAGATAGAGACATTGTACATCAGAATGAATCCTTTTAAACAATAAAATAATCTACACATCATAACATGCATATATGCACTTGCGTTTGCCATGCACTGCAATAAAAAATGCCCATAGTTAGATGACAGTCGATGGGTACTGCAGTAATACCCCGAAACTCTGCAATTAAATTAGGGTTTAGGGTCATGCAGGTCCATCCTATAGGCATGAATAGCGACTAATGAGGAAACAAAGCTCGAAGTAGCCTTAATTCTTGAAAGTTACAAAAGCGATTTAAAAAGAAGGAAGATTAAAATACTTTAATAAGTTTAACAGGCTTGGCTAAATTATATCCACTAGCTGATAAAATTTATAAAGTAGTTATAGGTGTGCACTAATTAGCTCGATAAATTTAAAAGTTTAGATTGAACAAATTTGGACAAAGTTCTATATACCTTAATAGCGCGTTTATTTCATAACATTTTTTCATTTACAATGCCACAATTCAAAGCGATTTTCAAATAATGAGAGCCATTTTCGCAAAATTCTTTCTAATACTTGCGCTTTTTACTTATGAATAGCACAGTTAGAAGCGATAGTAATCCAATGCTTCCAAATCCAAGAGTGATAGCACCAACCTCAATGTGATCGAGATTAATAATTGTTAGGCTTCCAAGCACAGTTCCGGCAATAGTTACTGCAACAAGCAAAACAATATACCGCGTGGAATAAGTGGTGGAACTCGAAGTCCTAACAATGTAGGCGGTGGTGAAATACGTCTTGTACCAAGTGGTAAGTCCCAATAAAAACGCAACTATTGCAAGAATACCAGAACCAACCAATGCATAGGCCAATTCTGAGAATGTTTCTGCATAATCATTAGCTGAAAGAAGATATATGCCGTATCCAGTCATGAGTAAAGCCAAAGTCTAAAAACGGGGAGTTGATTGCCCAATATAATACTTGCACTTACAAAGTTGATAGCAATGAAAAATATATAGGTCCTAAAGTAGAAATTGATATCATTATTTTGCTCTTCAAAATCCTCTGATTCCATTGGGTTGCAATTTAAAAGTTGTCAGTTTTATGAAAACATATAAATATGTTTTCTCTAAATCAATAAGCCAATCCGAATTGAGCTTAAATGAAACATATTCACTTTTAATGAGATAAATTTCCCCTCAAGTAAGTATGGGGATAATGAAATTCTGGTTGGTTGATAAGAAAGAAATTGGATAAAATGAGTAGGAAATGATTAGTGCATAACATTGGTATGTATTTCAATTGTTGCAGAACTCTGCACCATATAGTCTTCTCTAATCAATTTTCATTCTTATTCCTTCGGGTAACCTTTAAGAAAAAAAACTTTTTTTTTAAAATTTGAAAATGTATTATAATTTTGGATATTAGGCAGGACCACTATTATTGCGATTGGTCAATGCTATTTAATTAAATCGACTCAACAGGTAGACAAATTTGACCAAGTCAAGCATTGGAACGCATTTCATTACTAGCCGTGTCCAAGTGAAATGACAACTAAGACAACCTTGTGAAAATCAAACCCTGATGTCAAGTGTTTATTTTTTCCTTGAATAGCTATCATAGACAATTGGGCAATTATTACTGTCATTTATGATGCTTGAAAACTGACTAATGCCATAACTTCAATGTTATAATAAAAATCACCTGTTCTGGGAATTTATCATGACCGCATAGTATATGCAATCGACAGACCCAAATTATATTGGAGAATTTAGTGCTTGTTATAACCCCAACGATTTCATGAGAATTACATTAAGTAGTCGCTTTCTCAGAAAGCACAATTTGATTCGTCTGTCAGAATGATCTAAACAAAGGGTGGTTAAACTGTCTATAGTTAAAAATATTGTGGAAGAGGACTAGTAAGTCAATAAATCACTTTTGAGTGAGTGATAAATGCGAAGGTATTGCATTTTCACCTCTAAAGAATTAAGAAGCACATTTACCCATTCGCAGTTATACAAACCGCCAATTAGGATCGCAATTGTAAAGAATGGAGAGGAGCATAAGTTCAAAATTCACTACTTTAGCACCTTAGTCAACTTTATATTCAACATTAGATTTGTCCAAAGAGTCGGTGTTTGTTGGACGCACTTCTCAAAGAACGTGCTAATTGCAGGTGAAGATATATTATCCTCCAGATTGAGGAAAATTCTCACCCAATCGTTACTTCGACTTTGCAGTAGAAGACTCGCAACCGTTTCTCTAGAAATGCATTTTTAAAGTTCGCCAGCCCTTCCACAGCGCATTGGAAATTTTCGATAGCAAAGCAGCTTCAGAAAACATTTACAGAGATTTCGCGTGCTGTATTGGAAATTAGTATTTGGCATTATTTAAAATGATAAACAGAATTATATTGTGAAGTAAATAAATAGGGTTTTCTATTTAATGAAGCAGGCTTGAAATATTTTGTGGAATTTTAAACGTCTAAAATAGCAGCAATGCTAGTCAAAGTTTATTAATTCATTTATATGGTATCCCATCGATATATACAGGGTTGATGTTATGTAGCTATTTAAAAAACAGATATTTCTACTCATAATTAAACAGTAGAATGTAGTTTTCCAAAACGTTTCTTCGTCTTTTCCAATGTGTTACTTTTCACCATGCCAAATATGACAAGTGATAATTGTAATAGTCAAAATTCTTACCTTCTCACAAAACACCATTTACCAAACATATGTGTCCCAGTCTTAAATTGCACTAACATCTCTTCAACTTATTTAGATATGCAGAAATATGAGAGGTCTGAGCCTAGTGGTATTCATATAATGAAGCAGCTTGCGTATAATTTATTACGACATTTCTAGAATTGTGATCGATTAAATGAACAAATCGACCACTGAGAATCAGTTCCATTGTGTGAGTGTCACTAGATGACTAAAAAGGTAAGGTAATCGGCTTTTGCTCAATTTTTACATGAGTCGTAAAGTTGCCAAGTTGAAAGAGCTTTCAATATCCTTTCACGTCCTCAGCCAGCGGTTGCTATAAAGAGCAATGCACATGTCTAGCAACTAAAGTATATATTAGAATAAACACTTGCTCCTCTAAATCTTAGGCCACTGTGGGCGAGATATTTATAATTTTTTAGTGGCCTCATATCATTTCTAGCATAGCTTTTTGTATTGTCTGCATGTGACCACATGGAGTGGGCGATAGACCTACCGCCACGTGGTACCCCAAGTTCAAGAATCAGTATTTTAACACGAATTCGATTTACTTAATGAAAGCTTACATTATAATATATTGACACATTTCTTATATAAATTTATCATCTTATTTTTTTTAAATAGTAGTATAATTAATGAAAACAACTTCAAAAAGAAAGATTGATTTTAATGTCTTCATTAAACGTGATTAATTTTCTGTGATGTAAATATATATATATATATATATATATATACGCACATAATACTTTCACTTAACGAGCAATACATTAGTGGCTTAATCAAATGTCCTCCAAATGAACATTTAGTAATATTGCGTTAGATGTGAAAGGCAGACACGCCATTGCGAGAACAATGACCTTCTTATTGTATCTTATGTCAAACTTGAGAAAAAGGAATTAGTTTACTGCTATTAAATAAGTAAAAATGTTTAACGCACACTCTGATGAGAATGTTTCCACCCAAGACAATTATAATAACAGAAATAAAGTAAATGCCTTTTATATCTGTGCTTTCGTTGTTATTGCAACTGCAGATTTTGAGTGTTCAACATGTGTAGAGGATTGCTACACTAGTGAAGTCTTGACCAACTCAGAAATCTCTATGGCAGCATCTCCTATATCTGCCTAGTGGTTGTCTAAATTATCGACATCGACTGATAGTCATTCACGTTGTCCCCTTCAACGTACAGCACCAGCTAATTTGACAAAAAACAAAGAGAGGTTGACGTATAGCGAAGAGCATTAATCAGGGAAGTGTGTTACAGGCAGGGAGCTAGTCATTTTTCTGCACTGGAGGTTAAGCGTAACCAATCATGGTCTCTTAATTGGTGGTCGAATGAGCGTTCTCTTCACTCTCATGTAGACAATGTGGGAATCCTGAAATTACTTCAATGAGAAATTTACTCGGATTGCCTTTATATTTGTCGATAATCACGTGAAAAAACGTTTGCTGAGTTGTTACGTTCCAGAACTCTTCAAATGTTAATTGAAATGGCATTGAATTTACTATGACCATCTTTGAACTGAGTCCCACTTTGTGAAATACGTTTAGCTGATAAATGTGTTAGAGAGAGGGAGCTTACTCACTGAAATACTTTGAGTGGAGGAGATGGGGGTTGCCAAACTATGCAAGTACTTTTGGTTGACTGTTTCAGACTGTTCTCCCTCCGCAAAGTTGCACTGTCGCACCTTCGAGACAGTCTGAGTGCACTTGAGATTCCTTTGCTTACCAAGGACAGTGTTGTGAGCTCCACACCAATAATGAACAGATATTTATGTGAACTGGGGGTGTAAATCAGAAGAATTAAATTTTTATTTGTTCAAAATAAATTCCCACCCATTTTCAATAGAGGTAAGTAGTAAATTAACCATCGGAAGGAGTCGTTGCTATTACATAGAAGAATTAACAATTCATATAGACAAATCTCAAATTTTGGAGTGAAATAGAATAAACAATTAGTACTGGTTATAGAGTCGCAAATAGCTAATTCAGTGAAAAAATAAAGAATTAAAAGTTTATTAATTTAAATGACATGAGATATAAAAGTTTATTTAGCATTAACGACACGCGATGATATATGTGAGAGATTAGAAGTTCAGATGAACTTTTAGAAGACGTAAATCCCTTCCCCTTTCACTGGCGAGAATGTTGACTTCCAGTAATCTGAGGAAATAATATTGGGTTTCAAAGATGATCGATAAATACCAGTGGTTTGATGAAATACTCAAAACCAGTAGGTTATTCGGTTTGCAAATAGGGGGAAAAGAATCTTCTGGCATCTTCAAATAAATGACCCATTATATACTGAGAGATTGGAGCTGTACCACAACTAAATCTCCTACACCTAATCTATGGATGTCCATGTTTTCTTTAATCTCCTGACACATTTGAAAGAAGTGACAAGATCAAGGGGAACGCGAAAGACAAGCTAGAGACAAACGATCTGTGAGTGTGAATGAGTATTACTCTTGTAAATAAGGTAACCACAGGGTTGCAGACGGTGATGTATAATGACACAATGGCAAGCGAATGGGGGCGAATTGGAAGGGTACGTAAAGTGGCAAAACGGACATGAGATAAAGGGTGACAGAATTGTGTCTGGGTGTTGGTAGCAGCCGACAGTTTGTAATTCTTTAGCATTCTTCATTCTACCTTTCTAGCTTTTCGTTTTGATGTATTTTATTTGATTGGTCTTCCATTCATGCAACTGAAGTGTACTCAATCACCCCAAACTGAGTTGACCAATACCTGTTCCACTTCATTTCGAGTCAATTAAGTTGTTGCACATACTTATGAGAATATTCACTTATGGGAATTCGGCATATCATCATGTCAACAACAACGACTTGAAGTTATCGATAGCGTTAAAAATTGGCAGTTAAAGACATGAAAAATTTTCTAACGCACGAATAAGTCGCCTCAGGATTGGGTATGAGTAAGATAGTCCGATTTTGCGAATTTGATGTGAAGTCGACTAGGCACAGGGTTAAAATATCAATGCGCCATCAACTGCAACTCTTTTCAATGGTGCCGCGATCTTTTGTCCCCTGGTTTGACAAAGTAAAGGACATAGAAACGAATGTGGCTTGACAATTCAAATCAATTTGCTAAACTAGGCAAGTGGTTTCGAGTTTGGAATAATTGCTAAAGGGGAATCGTAAATCCACGAATCAATAATCTTCAATCTTTCATAAGACCTTCTAGAATTCGAAGGCCGTACCCATTTTGCACTTGTAATGAAAGTCACCAACTGTAACCATTTTGCTTTTCATTCTATAACAGGTATTCATCTCAATAGTTGTAGATTTGAAGAGAGGTACTAAATGGGATGCAACTGCGTCCACAATTTACTCAAAAGGAGAATACAGTTCGTAAATATTTTTGCGATTCAGTTATTTAAAGAATTGTGTTTGGGGCAGGATGTAATGGCTTGTCAGGACAACGAAGAAATATACTGATTGGTCATCAATTGGAATGCACTTCGAAATCAGCGTCCACTGACCTGATAGGCTGTCAATAAAGGAAAGAAGTTCTGTAGTCTGTGTGCTATTAGCCATGGAAATTGTAACGTACACACAGCCTTTGAGCAATCCCATTGTTGGATAGAACCTAGGTGGCAACCTGAAGTAAATGAGCCCCAACTACATGGAAATCTGTCGGTGAAATAAGAACATGAATTTTAAAATTGAGGGAGGATTGAACAAAGACATTGTATGTGCATTAGAGCAGTCTAGAACGTGAGGCGTCCTTCTAATTGCTTAATGAGCAAATGAGTATCCTCGAAACCATCTCGTGCAATAAGGGCGCTTTCGAGAGCACTTTCATACTGGATGATCTTGTGTGAGAGAGAGTGTGTCAATGTTTAATGGAGGCTAATTTGTGTTGCATCTACAACAAGCTCACGTACTAATACAACGATCGATCTGGTACTCCCACCCCAGATTATAACTGCGATAGCACACTCCTGTTTTACATTTTCAAATACAAAACAGAAGCAGATAATCATAGTAGACTCGAGAGAATCAAGTATTCTATGGCACTCGATATTGAGGTCTCCAATTTTGCAAAAGTAATTGTGAAGTAGACCATTTCAATGGTAATCAGTAAATGAACACCAAATCTTATTCATTATTAATGAATTACATCAGATTCGAAATAAATAAGTAGATTAAGCGTGAATGACATGAGCTGTTCAAAGAGGTGATTGCTCTCACTGGTACGCTAAAATTAAGAATAAGGAAGCCAAGTTTGTCTATTGAAAGCCTAAATTTGCTCGGACTAGTTACGAGTCATTTGATGCATGCAGATCAAAGTGTATATTTTCCAACGATTGAACAATCGTGTACTAGTTTGCATTCACAAAGATGTTGATCGAAATAGATTTCGGGAAAAGCTTTGCGATACTCATCCAAACAGCCTATATTGAGAGAAATGTTGTGGTTAGTACATTGAGCAAGCGAAAAGGCGGAAGAGAGAAGGAGAGAGTGAGGGTGTAATGCCGATTCAGCGTAGCGATCAAATTAGAAGTTGACTTCTTTGCCTTCTTTGCTTGTCTGTTGACCAACCAGTAGATGGTTGAGGCACACCAATAATGTGACGACGTGACTTTAAAGAAGAACAAATTTAAGATAAATGCGGATGTCAGGAACATGCTACTTAAAACTATAAAGTAGTGCAGACTGAATAGGCAAGAAATTGTCTCATTAAACAGTGAGGACGAGAGTGCATTCCAATACATGAACAATCGATAGTAGTCAACTATTGACCATGAGCCTCTGAAGTGCTCAAAAACCTATTCTCTCTTATTAATTTTAAACGAAATGGTAGCATCACAAGTATATAAGTGGAATAGAAAATTGAGATTTTATTTGAAAAAATGAGCATTGCACATAAAGCAATAAATATGGGAACAATAGATTTGTGATCAAAGAATAAAATGAAATGAATAAAATTTTTGTTCATCAAAAATGAGAATTGGTGTCATTTTTGAGGGATTAAGCGTTCACAAGAACCTTTAAAAGACGCAGATTCAATCCGCTTTTAACTTGAAATCGAAGTCTCCAACTGTGGTCATTTTGATTCCCATCCTACAACAGATACGCATCTAAGCAATTATTGATGCTCAGTTAAGTATCGAATGAGATGTGATTGCACTCACGTTTTCTTCATGTGGCATTTCCAGTTCATAAACATTTCCCCCTTTAGCTATTTTACGAAATTACTTTGAGGAATGTGATGTTGAATTTTGAGAACAACATAGAAATAAACGAATACTGACCGACGACGTAGAGATGGTCCCTGACTGCCTGCATTGAATATAAATTGCCACCTACGAAAAGTGATTGCGAAATCTGTGTCCACTGACCTTGTCGACCATTAGTTATGGAAAGAAATTCTGCTGTATGTGGGCTTGTATCACGAGAACCGGCAACGTAAACACATCCTTGAAAGAACTCTACAACAGGGCGGTTTCTTGCCGCCAACATTGGAGTGAATGAGCACCAAGTTGATTTTCCTGCAAAACTTTGAAACAATTCGACGACATTCAGAACTTTTTTATCTGCTCCTCGACCACCAAGAACTAAAACTCCAAGATCCGGAACGTTGACTGCTCCACTTCCAACTCTGCCTGTTGGCATATCGGGAAGTCCTTCCCATCTGCAATACACAAATTCGTCTCAATGACCTCGAAACTCACAAACCACATGTGTCAATAAATATCGGAGAGTCGTAATAACACATGGCTATTCACTCTTCTAGAAAACTGAAATTAGTGCATGTTGGTTGGAAGCAGAAGCTTTAATCCCAAACACCTAAGGGTTATCAATCAATTTGGCTTGACGAAAAAATACTTAACTTACTTGTCATCAAATGGAGAATATTTCTCACAGGAAGTGAAAGCTTTAAATCCTCCAAAAACAAGAATTTCATGTCCGACAGCAACTGCAGAAGCAGAAGCTCTACTCTGAGCCATTGACTTTGTCTCCTTGGCCTCGCCATTGCAGGGATTTACCTTGAAAACACGTGAACAAGCCTTTTTTTTCCCTGTCGCACCTCCAATCACAAAGATATATTCTAAAATGAAGGAGAGATCAGAGTAGGACTTGTGTGGTATTGACACAAAAGACGGTGATGAACTTGCAATTCACCATCACAAGCAACTACGCAGCTGTCATATCTGTAAGGAATTTTCAACTCTGCTTCAGCTTCCTTCACTTCTGGAACAGCTGGTAATAAAGATATGAAGGTTTGCTGAAATCTACTGCGTCTTCTAAAAGTAAAGACTCTTTCTCTCTTCCTGTTAAAAAACAAAGTCGCAATTTACATTGTCAGTGAATCGTTCGACAAACTTTACTCACTTATTTTCCTCAGATTTATCACCCATTTTCAAGTAATCCAGAAGTGTGTGTCTTAAGAAAATAAACTCAAATTTAATTGCATCGTTTACCTTGAATTGTCAGAAAGATTAATATCTGATTTCCCCGAGGCCACATCAATGAGAAAGGAACGAGGAACTTTGTTAGCATTTAGTGTTGAGAGAAGATTTGTGAAGAACGCATCACGGGTGTCTCTCTCACACGATGAAGGTGCCGCGTTTATCCATGACACTATTGCTTTCAACCTCAATTCCTCACTTGGGGCCCACAACCAGGGGCTACTCAGAAGTGCCTCCATGTCCTTCGGGGTTGTCCATCGCAGACACTTCTCATCCTTGACAAAGGAATCAAAGACACGTGCAATTGTGAGGATATTTTTGTCTCTCCAATCATGTCTGCCTAGAATAGAGCTGATTATCCAAATCTCATTGACATTGATTTGATTTAATCTAAAGAAGAGAAGATGAGTTGATGAATTTAAGTATGCACACTATAACCCATATTTGAACTAATCGACTCCACGTTAGTGAGCTTACATACGCATTCTTATCGGTTGCTTATCAACAACTAATGAGACAATATCTGCCAACCATTTCACCTCTCATTACTGACCATTTCCCCTCTCTTCCAATTTCTTCATCTCATTGTTCTCTTTCTCCCCTCCTATCTCTACCACTTTTGTCCTAGTCAACATTTCCAATTCTATTCATTATCTTCCAATTTGGGGAGGAGACTGATTCATCCGTTCGCACTCTGTAATGGCACTACTCTCATAAGATGACTCCAACTCACTCTAAATTCATAATTCTGAAGTGCTTCAGGGAAAATTTGAACTGTCAATGAAGTCGCCATTAGGCATGTGGTTTTCGCTTCTCTTTTGTATTAAGGGCGTGTTTTAAAATATATGCCACTGTGTGCTTAAGACGAAGTCCAATTGAATTGCTTATATGAATTACATTGGACAATCACTCACCTCCTTTCAATAAATTTCCGACAAACATCAATTAGAGATTGAGATCCAAGTTGATGTGCCAGTAAATAGATCTGACACACCGTGCGCAAGCTAATACCAATCTTGCCTGTGTAGACAAAGTCTATCACAGATTCGACAAGTCTGAAATGAATCGGTAGTGAATGAAAGAATGAATATCTGGATGTACTCGGTAGTGTAACGGTGCCATTTCATAGTGGGATCTTTATTCTGCAGTAGTTGATCCATAATTCTGGGAAACTGGGCACAGAGGAATGATCGATGAACTGGAATCTTGTGATTCTCCTTTGTCTAGAGATAAATAAATTATTGTAAAATATGGGATTCATCATGCCACCTACGATAATGTGCAAATCAATGAGATGTCCATTTTGTCGAAGTTGGTTAAAGAACTTTGGTGGAATTAAAAGTGCCGTTTCATCAGAGGGAGTACAATAAATGATTTCATCTTCCATCTTTACGCAGTTGGTTGAGTGCTAATAATGAGTGCTCAAGATAAGCCATACTTCGTGTGCATTGAGAGTGCGTCAATGTTACCTTTCTCTTCGATTTGATAGGCCTCTTTATTTTTTCACACCTCAAGTAAGATTTGGATTGACTTCTTGCATGTTGGAATTCGATCGGGAACCACCAAATGCAGTGTGACTGCAGAAATGAATCTTGGCAAGCTTGACAGTAGGTAATCCTTAATTGAGTTATACTTACTAAAACGCCCTACATAATTTCTAATTTAGTTCACAGTTTGATTGCAACAATTTGATTGAAGTTGCCAATGTAAGATTAATACTAAAATGAGGATTTTCAAACTGTTTAATTCTAATTTGCTAACCGTCATCACGCTAAGTCCCAGAGTTGCTAATTTTTTTCCTTACTAAAATCTTGTCCCTTAATTTGCCCAATTCGACCAATCGGAATAAAGAACTCTCCCTTTCCTTGAATTTCAAGTAACAAAGTAGTCGTTTTGTTAAGGGAAAGCATCTAATGTATCATTTGGACAAGTAAGTCAACGTTATTGACTCCAGACAAATCCACTTTGCTCCAATTACTTTTGGATGTACAAATGCATGTAAATGAAGCGATTTGAAGTTGATTTATTAACATCAACTTGTTCTTTTAAATGTGGCATATGCCAAAATTTCATTCTCAAAAGTTGACACTTGCGTTCTAAATCCCTCCCCCCTCCCAAAACACACTCTCTCACCATCCCATCCTTCCTAAACTGTTTGATTATAAATACTACCAAATTTTTAACAGAATTCGTTTAAAGAATCACCATTATTCGAATATTTCGTTAGCAACTGAATGCAGTAAATTTACTGTTGGGCCTAACCGCAACAGTAACAGATAAAAAGAGTATTTGAAGATGTGCCTGAAGTTTCGATTCTCCTCTGGAAATGGTCTTTTATTTCTAGAATTCAATACTAAGAGTGGAAAGGTAGCTAACCTTACATCAAAATTGAGTAACTTTCAGTACTTTTCGTGGGTAGATCGGTGAATTAGTTCCATTCTTTCCATTTTTGGATTGAAGGAAATTTACAACTTCGTGTCAAATGAGCACATTGGAGAAAATATCAAAGTGCTGTTGACTAGTGAAATGAGGACTTGATGCTTTAGTGATTCCATCCACATGTTCCAAATATGAACTTCACTCTTACACTGTTAAGACGTCAATCAGAAGTTCTTTGGGTGAAGACTAGAGGATTGGATATGTCTGTTGCAGGGATGCACTCTTGGTCTGGTGTAAATCAGTTTGACTCTGATGTGTAGATGCTGAGGTCGAATGAATTAATTGCAGCCGAACAAGGGTCAAGTTGAAGTGGGTTGGTGGGCAAACAGATTTGAGAGGAATGAAGTACGACTGGAAGCTGAATGGTTGAAAAGTCTTCTGGTAGACTGGAATGGTTCACTTCAAATTCTCCTCTTTCAGTCTTATAACCTTCAGTTGACTTGGACAGATGATATCACCACGGTGGGGGTGTTAGGAAATGTTTCAAGAAACCCATGTGAATGGCAATTTGAGATCGCGTGTAAGATTTAAAATTGATAAAGAAGATGTGATTGAGGAGGATTAATGAGACCAAAGGGGTTGAAATAATCCTCAAAGTGACTAATGGAGTGAATATGTGACCAGGCTGTATCCAATGAGCAGTGACGATTATTGACAGGGATAAGCACTTTCGTAGTACTTTAAAAAGAGTTCAATGTGACTTCTTTCGAATGAATTAGTCTTAATAAGACAGGATGTAAGTTGTGAAATATTGAGGTGGTAGTGATGAGATGGTGAGCCCATGCAGTTAGTGTAGTGTGGCGAAGGCGACGTACTGGTGCCGTACACTATCTTGGTCAAGACTTAATTGTTTTCAAGTGAAAGAAAAGTGTAGGTGAATGTGACTGTGGAAAGGTGTTCAGCCAACTTGGATTGGGTTTGCCAAAACGCAGGGAAAGAGACGGTTTGCACTGGAATGTGATTAATACAATGAGTGGCAATAAAGAATTAGAAACACAGGTGTTGCAGGTTAGTGTAGAGATTATTGTTATCAAGTGTGGTCTAAACTTTTCGTGCTCTCATCAATCTCAGAGAACATCACATCAGGAGATGTAGCTGGACGAGTCAGGGTTATGTTTAGCCCCATCACTAAACCAGCCTTATTTTCCACTAATGAGATTGTTCTATTACCTTGACATGTCATTCTCGAGAATTAGTCAGTATCTGAAATTTTCAAACCAACCTCCTGATTTTGAAAATGCGATTTTTATCCATACCTTACAGAATTGAGGTTTATGAACTTCCACTTGGCTTATTCAAAATTCTCATCGAGACTCCTACAAAACTTGCTTGCAATCTCAGGAAATCGACTTCGAGATTGAAGGGAATTTTCGAAAGACCGGCTATTGAATTGTACGTTTGGTTTGCTGCATAAAATATTTGGAATCGAGCCCTCTTAAGCACTCCATAACCTCTGACTCTCATTACTCCAACTGGTACGCGGAAACATGAGATACTTGAATGATGAATGACGAATGGTGAAATAGGTAGTCAATAATTATTTACTAAATCATCACCCAGTTGGACTGTCAGTATTGGACAAACAAATTTAGTTTGTTAGGTCAATCATTGTGAAATTAGTGGATGCACTTTCATTCACCACCAAACTCTAAATGGGGAAAATCACAGTTTCGCCCTGAAGTATCATAGGTGGACAATGTGAAGTGTAATGGTTGTTTGAGAAGTGATAAAATGGGTAAAGTTGCATGAGGTGGGCTGTTTGTGTTCCACTTCTACAATATCTCATATTTCTTCTTTTCTTAGTAGACTATTGCACTCTAACCTGGCCTAAC